CATACGACCGGATTTTCTTCGGAATCTCTCTTCTGAAGTTGAGGAGCGACACGAATCAACTGACCCAAGAGATTCTCTTCGCGACTACAKTGAAATCGAGGTGTTTAGTCAAAAGTTCGAGCCTAAACCGCTGGAGGCATGATTTTCGACCGATTTTGGGTCAAAATCGATGAGACCTTCGAGTCGCCATCGGAGATCGAATGCGAAGACAGAGAAGTGCAAGAGAAAAATGAGGAGACAGAGCCACAGTTTTTTTTCTTCTTTTTTTCCCCTCCAATCGCAAGCCGCCACGTCGAAGRCAAYATCTGGTGCTTAAAACGCTAAYTTAAGCGTCGATTCTTGGTAATTTTTATTTAATTAAATGTCAAATAATRTTAAGCACCCCATTAAGCACCCGCGTTGATGATGCTCTAAGAGCTTTACCCCCATATTGAAGTGAGAGGGTTAGGTGGTGTTTTACCTACGCACCCTATATTTGTAAATTAACCTAAAAAATATACTACCTAGGTCAAAGAATATTCAGATCTTATGGGGGATAGTAAGCTTGTATATATGTATTTTTCTTTTCAAAAATTCTTCATAGTTCATTAAAATTAAAGAAACCCACTTAAACAAAATCTAACCAACAAAGTCTTAAAAACAAAAACAAAAAAACTATGGGTAAGCTTTAAAGCTGGTAAAGATGGTTTTAATGTGTTTGCACTTGGACATATCAAGTGCTTTCTCGAGTGCTTTGAGATCCTCATGATAGACCGGACACCGATCCACTCCGCGGCCGCATAAGCAGTTTCTGATGTCTTTCTTGCGGCGTCGATTTTCCAAGTCTTCGAGAATTAGATCACGACGTTCCCCTATAAGCTCCGCTAATATGCCAATGAGACAAAACACTAGAAAGACTACCACCAAAAGGGAATATTTCAATTCCTCTCTACTAATCGTCAAAGCCATAACCTTCCCTGTAGTATTCACAACAAAATAAAGATTTCCCAAATTAATTATGAAACTATTTCAAGGGGAAAAAAAAACTTAAGCTACTTCGACAACCGACATGCAGGAGGTTATATATAATTAAGATTTGGATGCCTTCTAATTTCTTTCGATTTTCGTAATACTTTTATCAGATAATAACTTATACGATGAGAAAGGATAGCAATTCAATCTAATTAAGACGATAAGAATATTTTTAAGGAATACAATTGGATATCTTTCATAAGATATGATTCTCTCATACAATAAATTTATGACCACCGGATCCAATATCTGATATATATTGTGTAATGCCTAATTTCTTTTAGTGGATTTTTTAATCTGATAAAAAAAAAAAAATTCTATTGCTCTTTGGTACGACATATTTGATTTGCAAGCGAGTAATTCTTAAAAACATATTTGCTTTCAAATCGCAAAATTTGAGATAAGAACTCAAATTTTATTGATCATTAACAACGTAATTAAGTTGTAGTCTTAATCTGTAAGAATGGAATAAACCCTCTCCTATATTTCCCAAAATTAAGTTACTCAAACAAAATAATAATTACAACCCAAAAAGGATTTATCTTAAAATTAATAATCTTT